TTGCTTAGAGAGCAGATGACAAGGCGAGCCTGTTTGCTATCAGCCTGTACTCGCGACTGGGTCAGATGACTGCGCAGTGATGGGGAGCTGGATTTTCCTACCCCCGCGGTGTAAGGCTGAGGCCTTTTCCTGCAGCCATGCTAGGAGAGCAGCAGCCATGAACCAAGAAGCAGAAAGTCACATCCTCACATTCCATCTACATTACATTAAAACAAGGTAATGTTGGGCAGTTAAGAAGGCTTCTGTCCTAATGGCCCCCAACATCACCAGATAAAGAAACAGAGCTTAAGATGGTTAAAGAAAACTTAGTTTGATAGCATCTGTCTGGCAAGGAATCACTTATCAACACTTATCAAAAGAAAAGGAGGACTTGTGGCACCTTAGAGATTAACAAAATTTATTTTAGCGTAAGCTTTCATGAGCATCCGATGAAGTGAGCTGTAGCTCACAAAAGCTTATGCTCAAATAAATTGGTTAGTCTCTAAGGTGCCACAAGTACTCCTTTTCTTTTTGCGAATACAGACTAACACGACTGCTACTCTGAAACTTATCAACAGTTGTGATTGTAAAATCTATACTTCTATTGTTTTGCCTTAATGGTCCCCACTTCTCTATTGTTTATCTGTATGGTCTCTGTCTGTTTCTTTGACTGTTTCTGTCTGTTACATAACTAATTTTGCTAGGTGTAAATCAATCATGGTGGTGGGGTAGGATTGGTTAAAGAATTGTTTTACAATATGCTAAGATTGGTTAGAGAATTGTTTAGTAATATTTTAGTAAAATGATTGGTTACGGTACAGCTAAGCAGGACTCAAGTTTTGTTATATAAACTGGGGTCCAAAAGGAAGTTCTTGGGAATCAACTCCAGGACACACCCCCAAGATCAGAGCTGCCAGACCTCAACACCCTGCCGACCACACTGTGCAGAAGCTGGAGTCCCCCAGACAACCTTATCCTGACTGGCCCTCAAGAAAAGTTCATCTGCCTTATTGGGAGTGGTGAGCACTGTTTGCTTAGCGGGGGCATTCTGTTTTGGTGATTGTTAATAAATAGAGGTGATGTAGGATATTACTGTGTAAGGCTCTTTCACTGGTAAAAGGTCCTACAAACCTGCAGAGTGTTAAGGTTACACCCTGAGCCCTAGGAATGGGGTAAGGATGGGGGCCTAAATTAACAGGCTTATGCCTTGAGCCCCCAGAAGGGTAAAGGTGGGTGCCCTAGAGCATAAGGTTACACCCTGAGCCTTAGGAACAGGGTAAGGGTGGCTGCCCCTAAAGTGTGCAAGTAACAGATAATTTTGTCAGGTTTCAGAGTAGCAGCCATGTTAGTCTGTATCCGCAAAAAGAAAAGGAGGACTTGTGGCACCTTAGAGACTAACCAATTTATTTGAGCGTAAGCTTCCGTGAGCTACAGCTCACTGCAGGGCTTTCATTCAGCTTGGCCTTTCCCACAGACAGGTTGGCCTCTCCATGCTCTGCAAACGTCCTGACTGCTGGGGATGCCAGAGAGCCTTCGTTCCACAGTATGAACCAGGGTTGTGAGCACAGGCGGGGATGGAGGAGCAGAGTGATGGTACCCAAAGACGCTTGTGGGTAGCTGGGCAGCCTGGCTGACAGAGTCCAGGGAACACCTCACAGGGGCTGCGGAACAAACTTCCACCTGAGACCAGACAAAGGCTGAGTCTTAGCACCTTCAGGGTAGGCTGCCAAACCTGCCTCCTGGCTGAGGTGCTACCCTGACACCCAGGGAGGCGTCCCCGACTCTGCTTGGAACCTGACTCTCTGCTGATGGGCTGTGCAGTGAGCATAGGCTCTCATGGGACATTCCACGTAGCAGAACCAGATCCTGCAGGGACGGGGGCACCGGCCACTGGAAAGGAAACTAGCAATTCACAACATTCCCGGCAGCTTCTCCCCACCCAGCCATCAAGCCCCTCAATGCTGTTGGCGTCTAGAGGAAGCTGGAGTCTGGGTGAATGAGCAGCTGGCTCAGGCCCAGTCCAAATGAGGTGGAGCTGGCAGTCTAGCAGCTAGACCGCCCCCTCGGAATATGTTCTCGCGGTGCTGGGCACCGTCGCTGTCCCGACGAATGTAACAGTGTGGGGAGTTACCCTGACCGTGAATGCAACAGACTGACCCCTAAGGGAGGTAAATACACACCCCTCCCCATAGAGTGGTGACAGACACAGGAGACAGTGGGAGAGAGCCATCAATCCATCCCATTATTGCCTGGGACTTAGGCAGACCCCGTATGCTAACTGCAGCCCAGGCCTTGTTGCCCATCTGTCAGCCAGAGAGCCTGGGCTCTACAGGTCTGTATGTGCCATGCCACCCCGTAAGAAAGAGGGTCACTTTATCCATGTGCATGGCTCGTGTCCAGAAAGCCCCTGTCAGCACACCCCTTCCCACGTGCATGAGCTCCTCCCCCTCTCACACAGGTCGCACTCTGCATAGCCGCAATACTCACCACAGAACATGGGCCATTGAGCTGTGGGCAAAGAGCTGGGACTCCAACTGTTGGCTGAGTGCCGGGCGTTGCAGAGACCTGATCTCATGCTGAACTAGGGGGACCCCCAGAGCAGTGAGGAAGAGGCAGCAGGGCAGCTTCCAGACACCCATCAGGGCTGGGAGGGACTCAGGAAAAATCCTCTCTCCTGCCCCTCTCTTCTCCCTGCTCTGCTGAGGTTAACCATTGGCACAGATCACTGGTTCCTGGCCAGAGGCACAGCAGCAGGACCGGCTCCAGAGACGTGGAGGGGAGGTCACAGGCAATGGCTGCCTTTCCTGCCACTACTGAGATAGTCTCTCCAGCCTGGAAGCGGTGCCCTTGGAGTGCCTGGAGCATGAGGAGCCGGGAATTCAAGACACCCAGAGGCTGGGGCCTGTTGAACCCACCTGGGAGACGCCCCTGGGATTTGTGCCCCTGGGATTGGGAAGGGGGCTGCTCACCACACCGGCCTGCGTGGATGGAGCTCAGCTGGGAAGGTGAAATGAGAGCAACTTCAGAAGGTAAAATTCCCTGGAGGCCCTGAACCCTCCAGCTTGTGCTGAGCAGTAGGAGTCCAGAACTTTTCCATCCAGCTGTCAAACCAAGCGGGAAATGCCCTGGGCTGAGCCCAAGTGGGGGGACACGGAGAAGAGGAGGCAGCTGTGCCCAGCCAAAAAACCTTGTTGCAATAAATCCACACTGGGAAACTCTTACAGGGACAGGGAAGCTTTCGAGGTCAAGCGACCCCTCTGGCAGGGTTTAGATGGGATGGGGCTGCCTTGTGGCCTTGTGACAGGAGCTGGCTCCCCCGGGAGAGGGGGAGCGTTTCTCTGGAGTCCTAGCTAGCATTCCTTTGTGCTGTGAGTTCCTTGTTTCCCGTGATCTTGGCGGTGCCAGGAATCTGGATAGTTCGCTGCCTCTCTCTGTCTCTCTCTCAGGGCGGCATTATTGTGCATCATTCGCCCAGATCTGGCCTTTCTTCACAGTCTTCCCATCAGCCGCTGGGAGGGCTGCACCTTCACTTTCCCTCCTTCACTTCTTCCTTGTCCTGCACTGGTCCCCTGCACTGAAGCTGTCCTGTGGGAAAGGCCGCAGCTGAGGAGCTCTCCCATTAATGCTGACAGCTCTCAGAGGGCAGGGAAGGGAAACCCCAAGTCTGGATAAGCTCAGCGGAGAAGTTTCCATTGCTCAGCAACTCCTGCATCTGTTCCTCTTGTCACTGAAATCAAACAGCTGGTGCAGCCCTGCTCAGCACAGTGAAGTGCCCAGAAGCAGGGCTGGCAGGGAACCTAATGGCTAATGGCTTTTCTAGCCACAGCCCTGCAGGCAAGGGAGTCACATAGCAGCAAGCCAGGAGCGAGGCAGAGATGGGGACTGTAGGCTGTTCCGAGACACAAACGTGGTTTAGTAACCCACCTCCAGACTACCCACTGAAAACCAAATGAAACACGACAGGCCCAGGCTGCAGGGCCTGAGGTGAGGTAACAATACCCCTGTGACCCCTGGGGAAGGAGATAGGCAGTGGAAGGCGATTTTCTGTGGGCATCACAGAACAGTGGGAATGGAGGAACCTAGGGCTGGTCAGACTGGATCAGAGCCATGGTCCATCTAGCCCAGTCTCCTGTCTCTGGCAGTGGCCAGGAGAAGGGGTAAGACCCTCGCATTAGGCAGATGTAGGATCATCTGGCCCCCACGGAGTGCTCATCCTGACCTTGAATAATGAGCAATTATTTCAAATTCTGAAACATGAGGATTTATCTCCTCAAACTCTTTATTTAGTACTTACTACAACAGCTCTGTTTGCAGTGGTGGGGTCGCCATGCCAGTCCCAGGATGTTAGAGAGATGGGATGGGGGGAGAGGGGAGAGGGAATATCTTTTATTGGCTACGTTCTGTTGGTGAGGGAGACAAAGCTTTCGAGCTACATGGAGCTCTTCCTCAGGAAGCTTGTCTCTCTCACAACAGAAGTTGAGCCAATAACAAATATTCCCTCACACACCTTGTCTGTCTACAACAACTTGGGACATTCTTGATAGCCTTTGTGACGTTCCCCTGGGGTTATCCGGACCAGTGATCTGCTAGGTCGCTCCAACCCTCAACTCTGGGAGCCAGCCTTATCCTGCTCTGTAGTGAGAACCCTCACTCCTGAGCTGGTCACACACAGCCTCTGGCATGTCAGCTGCTCCTTGGATTGTGCAACCGAATGACACTAGCCAATATCTCTGGTCCCAGACACAACCCTAGGAACCTCCATCTTGCAGTGTCCAGTTATGCCCGCTGGATGCTGCAAGCTTATATGAGTTCGTCAATTTAACAAAGAAATTGGTATGTACCAGGCTTGTTATCCCAAGGGGAGTCTCTGACATGCTTCAAACCAAATGCACTGCTTCAGGTAGAATAAACAAACAAATGTATTAACTACAAAAGGTAGATTTTAAGTGATTATAAGTCAAAGCACAACAAGTCAGATTTGGTCAAATGAAATAAAAGCAAAACGCATTCTAAGCTGATCTTAACACTTTCAATGCCCTTACAAACTTAGATGCTTCTCACCACAGGCTGGCTGGTTGCTCTTCAGCCAGGCTCTCCCCTTTGATCAGCGCTTTAGTCGCTTGGCGGTGGTGCCTGTAGATGTAGGTGGAAGAGAGAGGAAGAGCATGGCAAACATCTCTCCCTTTTATCATGTCCTTTCTTCCCTCTTGGCTTCCCCCCCACCCCGCCTTCAGAGTCAGGTGAGCATTACCTCATCGTAGTCCCCACCTGACCAAGGGAAGGGGGGTAACTCATTTGAGAGTCCAACAGATCCTTTGTTGCTGCCTAGGCCAGAGTCCTTTGTTCCTGTGAGGCTGGGCTGGGTTTGTCCCATACATGTCCTGACGAGGTGTGAACGGCCCCTCTGCTCCTGGAGAGTTTTGCCTGGGCCTGTTTTAAGCCATGAGGACACATTTTCAGCCTCATAACTATTATACATGAAATTACAACCTATAATATTACTATAACAACAATGCTCAGTGCATCATGAGCCTTCTGAAGACACACTACATGATAAACTTTGCATTGGACACCATGTAATTATAAGGATGAAGATGGGGGTGCAGGGTGTTCCCCCGAGGTACAGAGTGTCCCAGCCTTATACATGTTCAATGCTTTTCTGAAACTTGCTAAATTCTTGGCCTCAGTGAGTTCCTGTGGCAGTGAGTTCCAGAGGTGACATACACTGCGTGAAAAAATCTGTTTAAAATGTGCCACCTTGTTAATGCAATTAAATGTCCCTTTGTTCTTGTGTTAGGAGACAGGGAGAACAGCAGCTCCTGATCTACTTCCTGTATCCCAGTCATTACTACAGTGGCACACCAGTAACGCGATAGTTAAGTTTGCATAAAGATGGCTGTTTATAGGTCAGTCTTTCTAAGTCCTCTAAAATCTATATGATTAGTCAGAGTTCTCCGAAATTTGGGGTGCCTCAGGTGGGTGCAGGGTAGGGTTTGTGCCCAGACTTGGAGTCATTGAGCTGGGATTCTGGAGATGTAAGCCCTGAAAAAGTTGCCATTTTGAAAAACGTCTTTAGGTGGGGGGGTATTTTGTACTGAGATAGAGCGCAGACTATTGGTGAGCGCTGGGTCAACACGGGGCTGTTGAGTTTTACCCACGGCAGTGCCTGGCGCTCACTAAGGCTTTGGGGGCCCCACACTGAGAACAATAAAAAATGTACATGTTGACGCTGCTGGATGCAGTGTTACTGTAGCCATATCGGGCTCAGGGTATTAGAGACAAAAGGGAGGGAGGGAATGTCTTTTATTGGACCAACTTCTGTTGGTGAGGGAGACAAACTTCAGAGGTCCACGGAGCTCTTCCTCGGGAAGCGCGCGTGTGTCTCTCACTAACAGAAGTTGGTCCATTAGAAGGTTTTCCCCACCCACCCCCGTCTCTCATTTTCACACTGCACACGCACCACCTCAGAAAAACGGCTGGAGGGGTTTCATTCCTGCCATTTTATATGCTTTAAAGCTTGACTCCTATAAGTGCTCTAATATCTGAATGATTAATCAGATTGCTTTGAAATTCGGTGGGCCTCATGCGGGTGAAGGGTAACCATGGTGATCCAAATTTGGGGTCACTTGACCAAGGGGTTTCTGAGCTATTTTCCCCCCAGAATGGTTTTCTTCTGCTGCCTTATACGGTTAAACTGAGAGGTACTGACTTTGAGTGGATGAATCACAGACCCTGTTAAGTTTAATGACTGTGAATTCACCCTTCAATTAACATAATTAAGGGTAAATTAATCACAAGCTCTCACCTGAAACAGAAGGAGTTGTGGACTAGTGACAGGAGGTGTGTGAATCCTGGGTGGCAATTTTATTTTGGGGAGAATGTAATCAAAGTATTTGGGGGGAAATGGTCATGTGAATACTTCTTGGAATGAGGGGGCATTACGGGGTGGAGGAGTGGGGGAACATGGAGAAGAGAGGTTGGGGCTGCAACAAGGGGAGGGGGTTATAGGAAGGGGTAAAAGGGGATGGATGGTAGGGGAGGCAAGAGAGGTTGGGGGCTCAGGTGTGGGGGGCATGGCAACCTTCCAGCTCTGCCAATGCACCCCAACTACCTGCAGTCCAACCCCCCTTCACCCCCAGCTCAGCCAGTGCACCCGCCTCCACCGTTCAGTACAGCTGCACCTGACACGGACGACATCCATTTTACCTGGAGTACATGCAGATAATAAATGCATAGGCTGCTCTCATACCCCTGCTTCTGCCAACGATCATAAAACCTCGCGCCCTCCTCATGTATAGGATAAACTCCTCGGCAATGAAATGATGCACAGTGGCTCCTCCAGACACACATGCAGCTCTTCACACAGAGGGGACAAAGCGTATCATGTGACACACCTCAAAGGAATCCACGCATGTCCTCCGAGCGCAAACACACCTTTACCAAGCAGGGCCACCCACTGCCTCCACCGTTTACTGTCGGGCACCTCACACACTGATGGCACCGGGAGTGTATACACAGCAGTACCCGGGGCTCTTGCCAGCTCCAGGAAAAAAAGAGGATAAGTAGGGTGACCAGACAGCAAGTGGGAAAAATCAGGACAGAGAGTGAGGGGGTACTAGGGGCCTATGTAAGACTGAGGTGTCCAGGTGAATCGCTACCACCTGCTCCCGCGCGAGGGAGCCTTGCCTGTGCCCAGCAGGGGAGGTTCTCCCAAAAACACTGGCTGCAGGCACCAGAGGAGCTCTGCCCCAAGCTACCACAACATCTGCTCTGCCCCGCTCTGCGCGAGCAGCCAGCACACCTCGCCTGGTTGCTCTGGAACACCCAGCCCCGCAATGGGCACCGATCCGCTGCCTCCCCGGAAGCAGCGCTCCAGCTCACTCGCTTCACCTCCGCTCAGCGCTCTCCTTCGCACACAGCACTCGGACCTGTCTGGGGTAAAGCCAAAGGGAAGTTTAGTTACCAAAGCTTCAGTTAAAGAGTCAAATAAAAGCAAGTCAGGTAAGGAATGATATGAAAGGAAGCCTAGAGCCTGTATTTAGTAACAAGTGACTTTCCTGTTTAAAGCGGTATTGCTCACCAACGGTTAGTCCATACAGTGCTGTCCAGCTCAGTGTTCTGCGAGGGGACAACGTACCATCAGGCCACCTTAACTCTGCATTCATGTCATATTTTACCATTGCATTTTACATACATTTATCATGTCCTCGCTTAGCTGTCACCTTTGTAAAGTGACAAAAACCCGGCTCCTCAATCACTCTTCAGAGGAGGTTTTTCCAGGCCGTGAATCGTTCTCGTCACCTTTTTGGCACTGCCTTTAATTTGGCCATCTCCTCTGTGCGGGGTGAGCCATGCTGCACGCAGGATCCAGATGCCGTGACAAGTAGGAAAGGGGCAGGTCAGCCTCTCACACAGGCAGTGCCGGCTGGGGTTGGTCCCTCCCTCAGGCTCCAGCTGCTGTTCTGTGTTTAAAGAGCATTTTTACCATGTTCCTGGGGACAGATGTAAGCCTGACTGGTCTGTCACACCTGGGTCCCACCTACAAGCTTTTTAGATATCAGTACAACATTTGCTACCCGTCGATACTCTGGTACAGTGGCTGCTTTTTATGAGCTTGCATGTTTTTGCTGGGAGCTCAGTCACTTACCCTGAGGCCGCTTCACAATCCTTGGTGCAACCTGATGGGCCTGGGGATTTATTGCTTCTGAAATTATCCATTTGCTCCAGGCCTGCTGCTTCTAACATGTCAGTCCCTGACAGTATCCCATTTCTCTAACCAGGAGAGACCAGGTCTGGGGTAGGTGTCTCCCCAGCACCCTCTAGGGTGAGCTTTAAAAAGCTTCCCCTGGTCAGAAGTCAACAATGCACCTCCTCAGCAATGCTGGTCACTGGGAGCCTGTCATTGGGCATTGCACTGGCTCTCCAATGGCTACGGGGTTCAGTTCATGGTAGCATTCCCCAGCTTTAGGGCCAGCCACGGAAATGGCCCAAACTACCTAAGGGAGCCCCTCTTTCCACAGTGCTGGGGGTGGGATGGACAGAGTGCCAGATCCTGAGGGTACACTGGGACAGGGGACAGAGTTTGCTTGGATCTGGCTAGAATGCAGGAGGTGAGAATGGATCCCAGTGCTTCCAGTGCAAAGGGGAGCCCTCCCTCTCCCCTTCAGCCTGGCTTCCTCTACAACAACAGCAAAGAAAAAGGTCAAAGACCTCGAGCTAGCCCACAGGCAGGAAGTGTGAGGGCATCATGGTGATCAGTGCGGGTCAGCCGCCACCCACTGACCTGGCCTGAAACGTGTCTGCCCTTGCTACGTCCTCACATCAGGCTCATTCACATGCTCTAACCCGGGGCCTTTTGCAGCGCAGGGCAGACAGGGCCACAGACAGACAGAAGGTTCAAACGGGAGGTTCTGCAGAAGCCCTGCGCTTTACTCCCCTTCTCCACTGGTACAGGGAGATCAGACTGGGGAGCCCCCCCCCCGCACACAGACACACACCTGTATGCAGAGGGAACACTCCCGCCCATGGACAGACGCCCACTCCCTAACTCTCCTGCTTGTAGGGCTGGAGGAAGAGGTGATGAGAGCTGACTTTGCACTAGGAAGTGCCCCCTCTCCCCCACACATGAAGCAGCTCTGGGATTTCTCAGGGCTCTGTCAGACCCCAATAAAGTTATACAAGTTCTCATGACCCCAGCAGTGTCTGCATCTGTGCTAAATGCTTGAGTTTGGAGCTCTCTGGACACAGAACAGACGTTTCCCTTTGCGGGGCTCAGAGAAGCCACTTTATTATTCCATGAGGCTGACAAGGTTCAGAAAGCCAAGTGATACAAAAGCTACTGGCTTTCTTGGTACCAGCCACTCTAGTTCCCCAGCGCTGTGTGCCTGTCACATGCCAGTCACGTCAAGAGAAGAGGAAGACCGTGAAACAGAGCTGCAGCACTGGAGAAGGAACCTGAAGCAGCTCAGAGAAATTAGCTTTATTTGTACTGCAGGAGCCCCCAGAGGCTGGGTGCTGTTCTCATTGTATTTGAGTTTAGTTAGCCCCAGGTTAGAGTTCAGCTTCTTTTTTTCCAGCTGTTTTCATAGAATCATAGAAGATTAGGGTTGGAAGAGACCTCAGGAGGTCATCTGCTCCTATCCCCCGCTCAAAGCAGGACCAACCCCAACTAAATCATCCCAGCAAGGGCTTTGTCAAGCCAGACCTTAAAAACCTCTAAAGATGGAGAGCAATGAATTCCAGTGCTTCACCACACTCCTTGTGAAATTGTGTTTCCTAACATCCAACCTAGACTCCCCCACTGCAACTTGAGACCATTACTCCTCATTCTGTCATCTGCTACCACTGAGAACAGCCGAGCTCCATCCTCTTTGGAACCCCTCTTCAGGTAGTTGAAGTCTGCTATCAAATCCCCCCTCATTCTTCTCTTCTGCAGATTAAATAAGCCCAGTTCCCTCAGCCTCTCCTCATAAGTCATGTGCCTCAATCCTCTGATCATTTTCGTTGCCCTCTGCTGGACTCTCTCCAATTTGTCCACATCCCTTCTGTAGTGGGGGGCCCAAAACTGGACGTAATACTCCAGATGTGGCCTCACCAGTGCTGAATGGAGGGGAATAATCACTTCCCTCGATCTGCTGGCAATGCTCCTACTAATGCAGCCCAATATGCCATAGCCTTCTTGGCAACAAGGGCACACTGCTGACTCATATCCAGCTTCTCATCCACTGTAATCCCCAGGCCCTTTTCTGCAGAACTGCTGCTTAGCCAGTCGGTCCCCAGCCTGTAGCAGGGCATGGGATTCTTCCGCCCTAAGTGCAGGACTCTGCACTTGTCCTTGTTGAACCTCATCAGATTTCTTTTGGCCCAATCCTCCAATTTGTCTAGGTCACTCTGGACCCTATCCCTACCTTCCAGTGTATCTACCTCTCCCCCCATCTTAGAGATATCCACGAACTTGCTGAGGGTGCAATCCATCCCATCATCCAGATCATTAGTGAAGATGCTGAACAAAACCAGCCCCAGGACTGACCCCTGGGGCACTCCGCTTGATACTGGCTGCCAACTAGACATTGAGTCGTTGATCACTATCCATTGAGCCCGACAATCTAGCCAGCTTTCTATCCACCTTATAGTCCATTCATCCAATCCATACTTTCTTAACTTGTTGGCAAGAATACTGTGGGAGACCGTATCAAAAGGTTTGCTAAAGTCCAGATATATCACGTCCACCGCTTTCCCCATATCCACAGAGCCAGTTATCTCATCACAGAAAGCAATCAGGTTGGTCAGGCATGACTTGCCCTTGGTGAATCCATGTTGACTCTTCCTGATCACCTTCCTCTCCTCCAAGTGCTTCAAAATGGTTTCCTTGAGGGCCTGCTCCATGTTTTTTCCAGGGATGGAGGTGTGGCTGACCGGTCTGTAGTTTCCCGGGTTCTCCTTCTTTCCTTTTTTAAAGATGGGCACTATATTTGCCTTTTTCCAATTGTCCGGGACCTCCCTCGATCACCACAAGTTTTCAAAGATAATGGCCAATGGCTCTGCAATCACATCAGCCAATTCCCTCAGCACCCTTGGATGCATTAGATCTGGACCCATGGACTTGTCCAGCTTTTCTAAATAGTCCTGAACCTGTTCTTTCACCACGGAGGGCTGCTCACCTCCTCCCCATGCTGTGCTGCCCGGTGCAGCAGTCTGTGGCCTGCCCTTGTCTGTGAAGACCGAGGCAAAAAAAAGCATTGAGTACTTCAGCTTTTTCCACATCATCTGTCACTAGGTTGCCTCCCCCATTCAGTAAGAGGCCCACACTTTCCCTGACCACCTTCTTGATGCTAACATACCTGTAGAAACCCTTCTTGTTACCCTTCACATCCCTTGCCAGTTGCAACTCCAGTTGTGTTTTGGCCGTCCTGATTTCACCCCTGCATGCTCGAGCAATATTTTTATACTCCCCCCAGTCATCTGTCCAAGTTTCCACTTCTTGTAAGCTTCTTTCTGAATTTAAGCTCACCGAAGATTTCACTGTTAAGCCAAGCTGGTCGCCTGCCATATTTGCTATTCTTTCTGCACATTGGGATGGTTTGTTCCTGCTCCCTCAATAAGGCTTCTTTAAAATACAGCCAGCTTTCCTGGACTCCCTTCATTTAATATACAGTTGTGTGGAGAGCCCAGGACTGGAATAGCATGGGGGTGTTGCAGAATGGGACTAAGGGGCATCAGCAGAGCTGTGAGGGGAGCTCAGGGCTGGGCTGCAGGTCAGGACTCAGGAGCATCAGCAGAACTGGTGGGCCGGAGAGGCAGCCAGGACTGGCCTAAAGGCACAGGGGCTTGGGAGTTAGGAGCATTGATAAGTTGTCCCTGAATTTAACCACACGCTCAGTCTCTCTCTGTCGTGAGTGCTGAATGGAGCCATTTTAAAGGGGCCCTAGGAGCCAAGACGGATTTGTGTTTACCATGAAACTGAAGACCGGGTTGAGGCTGAGTCAGATTTTTGTTTTAAATGAGGCTGATCCATGGATTTTTCCTTGGCAGAGACCAAACCAGTGTCCCACCCTGGGCGAGTGCTGAAGCTGATTAGCTCAGCACAGCTGGTCTGTTCTGGTTCTGACGCCTCGCACATTGCCATGGGCTCCAGCTTTCACCCAGGGTGGGAGCCTGAAGAAATGCTGCAGTCAGCTCATCTAGGAGAACATGGCCCCAAAATGCTGATATGGGAGATGTTCTGCCCCCTAAGTACACCTGTCAGCTAGCATCATGGAAGGGTCCGTGTTGCTGAGAACTCAGGTGCTAGGAGGAAGCAAACTCCTGTTGTCCCTCGCCTGGTGCCCTTTGGAGTCATTGACACCTGTGTGAAGTCACTGGTCACCGGTCTGATTCGCTAGCTTTCGCATGCACTTTGCATGAGTGCAAATGGCCACATAAGGCCCCAGGTA